TGCCATCAGGTCCCTGGAGGAGAAGGGCTACTATACCCACCTCTCCAGCAGCCCGTGCCTCCTTTTGTCAATCTCTTCAGCATTCAGAATGTTGAGGAATTTTGGATGCCTGCGCCCCTCCCAGCATGATGTAGTTTCATCTTCTAATGGCTTGGCAGTGACACAGGGCGTCGCAGGAAGAAGCAGCCGCTGGGGAATTTTCTTTCTTTTATTTGGCCCGCAGTTCAACGTCAATGTTATTGCAAATGAAAGTTTGTTTCGGCGCGGCTTTTCTTTTCTTTCCTTGTATTGCTGAGTAAAACGACCCCATTATGACTGAGGCAGCCAATTAACCCCTACAAAAGTTTGGGGTGATCTCAAACTTATTTTCTCTTTCTTTTTTTTTTCTTCTTCCAGTTCCTTGCTCTGTGAACACTTTGCGCACCCGGCAGAACAATTTGTTTCACAAGGCTATTGTTATTTCAGAGATCGACCTCCACATTGTAGCACGGAATAATGGATTGCCCGGAGACATCCTGTAGCAGAAACAATTCTTTCTAATAAGTCGGGCGGAGCAGGAGATGCACGGCGATAGCAGCTAGCCGCTGCAAAAATCCAGCACGGGGAGCCGAGGCAGCCTCCGCATCGTGGAAACGCCGCGTTCTAAATTGGGGAGGGCGTGATGTGTGTGTTGAGTCCGCCAGCCGCAGTCTGTCCCAGCCACGGGCGACGTATGGCGCTCACTCTCCGCGCAGGTCACCGGAATTAATTGTTGCTCTTGTTGCAGGGAAACTGTCCAAGTGGCGGTATTAGTAATGTGCGCTTTCTGGGGTTGTCAAAAATCATTACTCATCGGTGACACAGGCAGAGAATTGTTATATATAAAGCACAACGCTGACTTCTCCGCTGCTGAGTCATTGCAAGCCGAGGAATCTGCAAATGTGTTGAGAAATGGCTCAGGAACACATGATTGACTGAGCCAGACAGGAAACAGCGTATTTATTTTTATTTAGTAGGAAAATGTTACCATTTAATGTGTTTTTTATTTTATCTGTGACCCCTATTGGAGAGATGTTCCTTTACTTTCAGGCTAGCTTTACACCTGGGCGATCCGTGACCGCACAATGGGCACATGGTCACGGAATCTCCCACCACCACCAATCGCGCTGGCAGTGCCATCATTGTCTAATGGCACCCCAGGCAGATTGCGTGGTTTCCCGCCGCGATACCGCCCGTGCAGTTGCACATGATCGCGGTTCAAAAAACCATGCGGGTCGCAAAAAGAGGAACATGTACCTTTTTTCAGCGATTGCCGTTCGAATATAACCCCATTGAAATCAATGGCGATCGCTGTGTGCAATCATGCACAATCGCGTGGCCCCGGGATGCCGATATCTGAACCTAGCCTCAGTCTCTGTGATGCCCATAAGGGATGCAGTTGTCATTTGTCACTCACGAAGATAGAGATTTCAATAAAATTGAAAAACATTCAAACCCTTCATTGGAGAGAACTCCCATCACTTTGGTCTTGACAGGAAATGAGGGATGTTTTGTCTAAAATGTCGCTGTAGGCAAACACAGTCTGAGACACAGTCTGTATGGACTGTATGAGAAGACAGGAAGAATACTGAAGATTCAGAGCCTCACAGGGTCTCTAGATCAAGGTGACATAGTGACCATTCTTATCACTATGTTGCTTTGAGGAAAGGACACTACAAGGCCCCAAATCTCGGACTTT